GTGTCTACCCCTTCGTATTTGGCCCGATATGTCTTGGTTCGCAGTACTCCCGTCCTGGCCTCAAACAGTAGAGAACTACCCCGAGTATTATCATAGATCCTTTCCTTGGCAATTTCCTGCTTAAACGTTCGATAGATCTCTAGTGCGGACTTCTTAATCATGCCCATTCTCCACATGTCAGTCTCCGTTTCCTTCACTTTCTTCTTAACCGATAGTTCTTTTTGGTTTGGCCACCTGCTGTTTTCTAAGTATTTACCAGTCAACTTCCTGGTTTGCTTCCTCCATTTTGTATCGACATTCTTCATGTACAAGTAGCTGAATACCTTCCTAGCCCAACGCTCTTCCCCCATTTCTCTCAATCGCTTCTCAAATTTTATCTTGCTGCTAGCTTCCCTGCCCTCAAATGATGTCCATCCCATATCACCTTGTACTCCCTGATTTGGTGTATTCCCGTGAGCTCCTAAAGCAAGCCTACCTATTCCACGATGCTTAATTTCTAATCTTGCTTGAACTTCTGATCTCATGCACAAGACCGCATTGCCGAACGTCAGCCCAGGAACCATGACCCCTTTCCATATTCCTCTCACAACATCATACCTATTGTAATTCCACAGTGCCCTATTTTTCATGACTGCTGCATTCTTGTTACCTTTAGTCGTCACGTATATTTCGTGTTCCCTCAGATACTCGGTCCCATTGCTTATCCATACGCCCGGATATTTGTATTTATCTGTTATCTCTAGCGTGACCCCCTGTATTCTAAGCTCACTACCTTCGTTGTCATTGAAAATCATGACTGCTGATTTTTCCTTACTGAATCTAAAATCTAACCTATCTCCCTCATTACCGCAGATGTCCATCAATCTCTGCAAATCTTCCTTGTTGTTGGCCATTAGCACTATATCATCTGCGTACATTAATGCTGGTAGTGCCTGATCAATAAGTTTTCCTTGTTTGACTAAAGAGAGGTTGAAGCCCAGTCCACTTCCCTCTAATTTTGCCTCTAATCCTTGTAGGTACATCATGAATAATAAGGGTGACAGGGGACACCCCTGCCTAAGCCCCCGTTTTACCTCTGCAGGCTTGGATACCTGTTTTTCCCACTTTATAACTACCTTGTTACCTTTATAGGTACCCTTTAAAAGATTAGTGACTACATGTTCCACGCCTAGTGTGTCCAGTATTCCCCACAATTCCTCTTGAACCACGCTATCGTACGCTCCCTTGATATCCAAAAATGCTAGCCACAGGGGCCTGTGTTCCTTTTCTGCTATTTCGATGCACTGCGTCAGTGAGAACAGATTGTCTTCCAACCTCCTGTGTTTCCGAAACCCATTCTGCAGTTCCCCCAGCACCCCCTCATCCTCTATCCACGCCTGCAGTCTTTCCTTTATAATCTGCATCGCCAGCCTGTAGACCACTGATGTCACTGTTATAGGACGGTAGTTGTTTATGTCAGCTTTGTCCCCCTTTCCTTTATAGATCATGCTCATCCTGCTAAGTTTCCATCCATCGGGAACTTCACCATCGATTATTATTGTGCTCACTGCCTCTCTCAAAGCCTGCTTGTACTTCGGACCTAATGTCTTTATCAGCCTAATTGGAATGCCATCTGGGCCTGTTGATGTACTACTAGGAACCCTTTTCTCAGCTCTTTCCCACTCTTGTTGTGAAAATGGAGCCATTGCACCACTTGATTCGTCCTTGTCTATTGTGGTGCATCAAGTACTTCTTTGTTGACATTTTTCTGTCACCCTTGTTCCTATATATTCAATAGCTTCGTCCCCTTCAAGCCTAGCACCTTGGGCTGTAGTTATAAAACTCTGCTCTAGGCTCGTCTCATTTCTTAGGGAGTTTAGATGGTTCCAAAATTTCGCAGCTGCCTTTCTATCTTTTCTATGTACTTCTGCCAGCCACTGAGCTCCCTTCCTTCTAATCTTTTCATTGATCAGAAGGGATGCATCCCTTCTACAGCTTAGAAAGGTTGCCCATTTTCTTTCAACATCATCTGTCGGTTCACCCCGCTGCTTAGCATGTCTGTGTTCCCTAGAGGCTTCCTGACGTTTTGCTATGGCTCTCTTAACTTCGTCATCCCACCAACTTTTGGGTTTGTGTCTTCTTTTCCGGGGTGGCTTGTGGCGCTGCTGCAGCTTCTCAGAAGCTGTAGCAGCGCTGAGAAGCTGCAGCAGCGCCCCCACAGTGACCATCTGAAGTATATGGGCACAGTCATACCCTTTTTCATCGTCCAGAGGAGGGTAGGATGGTGTCGTCGTGGAAGCAAAAGGAAACACGCGACTGAGGATAGACAAAATGGCGCATGCACCACCAAGGCTACAAAGCACGGGAGAGCGGAGGAGCCCGCACACTGTCGCGAATGGCGCTAGTTTAGTTATTTCTGGGAACTTTACAGACAGTGGAACACTCTCGGTGCGTAGTTTAGTTTCATAGAAGACCACTAGAGGGCCGCGCCTGTATATAGCGCGTGCTCTATGTGCGCAACGACTCGCTTGTCTAACCCGCAATACCACGCATTACAACCTCTGGGGCAGTTCTTATGAATACAACTGTCCCACTACCGCCAGGGGTACTTGTTTGGACATCATGGTCTCTAACGGTCCACTACATCTGATATTTCGAAATTCCTTGGCTTTGAACTTCACGGACCACAAGGCCGGCATACTCAAATGAAAGTGCTCCCCTGAGCTTCACGGAACATAAATACGAGCAGGGGAACCATTGTTCCCTGAAATGGTAATGGAAAGAATTACTTCAATATATAACTTGTGTGCGTCTGCATAATTATGTAACTAATTAAACATCTTGTGTATATCACACCACACTTTGCGTGTCACGTCTCTGTATGATAAATTAGCGGATGCACGGAGGATCCATAGTTTACCATGCTTAACCTCTCGAGCAAGCTCCATCATCATCATTCACTTCGTATATACTTCTCTACTTTTTTTTTCGTTCAATACCCGACTTTTCAGTGCGATCGCGTGTGCACACGTGGAAAAGTAGCGCCCTCCTGCGGCGGCCCCAGTATACGACCGAGCACGCCACGTTCGAATCAGCGAATGGCTGGTACTCGGCCAGGGACGCATTGATTTGGAACCTATAGCGTCATTTGACGAGAGATAAGAAAGTGGTGTTCAGCGCATTTTAAAATTCTATTCTTATTAGCAGGCCATGCGCTGCGCTCTAATATTTTGTAAGCTTGTTCTCGGGAACCTTCTCCTGCGGATCGGCAGCGTTTTTCTGACAGTGCTGAAAAGTGTTGCTGGGCCCTTCAACATGTACAGCCAATCCCGCTGATTTCGCTCATATATGAACGATCGAATATTTTAATTCCCAGTGATATATTTGTAAAACGATCAGCTCTTTTATCGCTTCATTCTTTAATTTATTGAAGTGCTGCAGTGCCCTTGGAAACTGACCTTGCTTTTTTTTTCTTTTATAGGAGGTACAACCACTGATTTGTTTCCCAGCAATTTGTCACAAGAAACATTAATTGCAGGTAAGCTATCATATTGCTTCTGTGAAGTTAAACACAAGTTCCACAGAACCACCCTGCGCGACCAGTATAAGTTATCAAGAGAGAAGAAACAATGAAATCTACAGACATATAGAAAGCGATCACTAGGAGACACTTTTTTGCTCTAATGTAAGAAGTATGAGCTCTTTTCAAGAAATTAAAGTGGACGTAAAAGCGCCCTTTTTGTCGGTGCAGTGCAAACCTGCTACATGGCCAACGAATTAAAATATTTAATGCTTTCCATCGAAGAGCGATTGTTAGAGCATAGGACACGTAATTCGGAAAGTGTTTGTTTGGATCCCGCCGACACAAAGAATGGCCTTTTGTCCTGCATAATTCCAATTAAGGTACCAAAATTACCTGGTGCTCTTTGGCCATCAAATGGCCCTTGCTTCATAAAGCAACACAAGTCATCAACGAAAAACTATTTCACTTTAAATAATGACATCATTCTCCTCATGTCACCTTGTGCTGGTGCAGCATATATACTGAGCCACTTTTGCGCCATTAAATTCTAACTAACCAACCAATGTAAAATCTCCTTGATTTTTTTCTGTCTAGGTTTCACCGTTTTCGCCCAGCAAACAAATGATCTTCTCGAACGATTCCACCGATTTCTCATAAAGGAAAATAGAGCTTCACGCTCACTCAGTTTTCTCACATTCACGATGTTTTTGAAAGCACGAAGTTTTTCTGTTGTGCACCTTCTTTCTAATCTTCTTTTTGTGAACTTCTACGTAAAGGCTTCCTTGGCGCTTTCCCCATGCTGACATGTGCACTCGATCAGTATCTTTCCCTTTCGAGCATAGCTCGTTTGTCACTGAGAGCACTGGGCGTAACAGTTCTAAGGCACTCCAAGCTAGTAAATTTGTTTCCTCGTAGTCCACCTTGGAATAGCGCAGCGGGGATGGTACTCTGATAATGATAAATTTGGGGCTAAATCTTGGCCCCGTTTGTCACTTCACGATGGAGTTGAAGTGTTAGAAGTCTGACTACGGTGTCAGGATAGTTTGATATACACCAGGTGGTCGAAAATTCTGCAGTCGTCCACAGCTTGCCTACTAATATCTTGGCCTTAGCAACGAAAACGTTGAGAAATAATTGCGTCCAGGCTGCATAAACTGCAACAAAGTGCACATTGCACAATATTACCATGATTTTCCGCCGTCTTAATCCTCAATGAGTGACACACTAAGTATAGAGACTGCAGTTCTTATTGCGCAGCAAAAATTAAAGGTCACCAATGCGCGCAATAAACGGGATCGCATGTTGGTACTTAGTCGTGTACTGCACCGTTGTTTCTAGCCTCGTTTAAGATAAGCTTCAATTTTTGACGGTAAGTTCGTAATCAGTCCTGGGTAAAAGGCCGCTTACCGCCAGAAGAGAGGAAGAATGTATTGACAGTAGACCATGGCGCTGAAGTAGTTACGCTATCAACTCAATGTGCCGTTCTTTTTCTTTGCAGCTGGAGCAAGAGATGGCCGTGGAGTCAGCACTCCAAGCAGTGACAACTGCACTAACCAGTTGTGCTTGCCTGAAGGTGACTCATCACGCTACATTGAACAGTAATTCTAGCTTAAGTATATCGTAAAACAGCCTTCACTCAGCAGCTTTATGTGAGTGAACCCTTTGAAGCGCCCACTATTAGGAGCTGTCTGTAAGTGAATCAAATATCTGTAATAATATTCTAAGGCCCCCGGTATTCTACTTTAACAAAAGTATTGCCATACAACATTGATTTTTATGCCTATAATAACTAAGCCTAGTAAATTGAAATTAAACATTTATAATAAAGCCGTTACGCTTTCCTGCTGCGTAAGCCTTGAATCGGAGCTTAAAATATCACTGCTGATTTGTTTTTGGCTGTATTTTCAGCCAAGAAATGTTTTGCCAGTGTCCTGGCTCGAAGAAAGTGTCTCGCCAAGCCTTTTTTTGGACATAATAGAGTCTTGAGAAATGTCAATGAAGCCTTCAGAAAAGTCAACGGGGCCATCAGGAATGTCCAGATGATAATCAACCATACAGAGCATAATGAAGCTAAATAAGGACACATTTAGTATGCAGGAGGTTTGATTCATCAAAGGGTGTATTTATCTTGCGCCCTCTTGGCCACTAATCGACACATCATGCAAAAGCAAGTGGTGTACACAATCGTGTACAAAGTGTCTCGGAAAGATTAAGTTGCTGGCAAAACGTTCATCGGTACGAGAGAAGAATGATGTTAGATATCAAATCGCACAGTAAATGAGGTCACTGCACGCTACAAGTGTGACGGTGGGCAGTGAAAGATATTTTATGTTCGGCACGACGGGTACAAATATACATAAACTGGCAATGCACACGTAACTGCGCCACTTTAGGCCCTAACCTTCCTAGACCAATTCCAGTTTACCGCTTAGGTCTGGCTTAACATTAGTTTAATCATACCAAATGAGCACCGCCATTGTATTTTTAACGTGCCGCATAACATATTATCTTCGTACTGATGAGCCGCGACTCAGCAATATTACTTATGATTCGTCAGTCTAGATACTTCTGTGTTCTCCTTTCGAACATCATAGATGTATTTTGCAACAACCACTATCAGTTGTAAAGCTACTATATATATATATATATATATATATATATATATATATATATATATATATATATATATATATATATATATATTATTGCAAATGCAGTGTAAAATGCTTGAAATAAATAGCAAAGTTCACACACCTCTAGATATTCACCAGAGACAACTCCAAGGTTAAAGCCATCTTTCCACTTGTTTTCACTCTAACCCACTCTTATTGACTCCTCTCCCTTCCTTCCACGTCAGTATGTTTAGGCACTGCCTCCGAGATTGGAGACGCTGTCTGCTTCCTTCACCTCACGTAGCTTTCTAGCACCTTCGGGATCAGTCATCAATTGAGCAAGCTGAGATTCGATGCGATGAGCCATGTTACATCGCATTGAAGTCAAGCTGACGTCGCATACTTCCGACTACATGTGACGCCATGATGATGTGAGAGAGTGACGTCACCACATCACAGCGTTTCACATGACGTGCGTTGTCGCGGATGCCTTTACCTTTTACTGATTGATTGATTTGTGGGGTTTAACGTCCCAAAACCACCATATGATTATGAGAGACGCCGTAGTGGAGGACTCCGGAAATTTCGACCACCTGGGGTTCTTTAACGTGCGCACAATTCTGAGCACACGGGCCTACAACACTTCCGCCTCTATCGGAAATGCAGCCGCCGCAACCGGGATTTGAACCCGCGACCTGCGGGTCAGCAGCTGAGTACCTTACCTTTACCCGTCACTTTTCGCGTCTGATGAGTATATTGGAGCATTCGCTCTAATAAATAATACGGCGATATGTTAGCTGTTGGGCACCGAAAGGAGTGTTTAACCGCTACGCAGCCGGCTACCTCGTCTCTCGGCTGAACCTGAGCGTGGGCCAGTGCGACGACTTCTACCGCTTCGTGTGCTCAGATCGCTGGTTCGAGCACGACTCTCGGGAACTGCCGTTCCGCTTCTCCAGCGTGCAGCATGTCTACGACGCGTTGCAGCGATATGCCAAGGGTACGTGGTCTCCCAAGTGAGACTCCGATCTAGAAGCGAGTTGCAAAGTAGTATCTCATGTGTTCGTGCTGTGGCACACAAAACGTTCAAGAGTGTGCGCAGAAACATTGAAATGCGTAGGATTATAAGAATCTGCAGTTTAGTATCACATACTAGACCCTTCTATAAATCGCCAGTGTTGCGTGACATCTGTTAATCTATTGATATATCACGCAATGTTGTATGTAAAATAAAGTGTGATGCTATTCTACAAACGCTAAATAGCTTCCTTATTATCGCCTGTTGATTTTACTGCATGCCTTTGTCGAAATCTTTGTAATATATTTTGTACAATCTGGTGCTATACATTGCCTGCTTTGTATACACTGTGGGTGACGTGTTTGTTCCACTGTGCTGTCTCCCAGTGGTTGGTTCAACCACCCCCGTATTTTTAATTTCCGAGAATCGTTTAGGATGTGCGAATTAAAAAAAACACCATTACAAGCACTTTTTCTAATGTATAACCCACAAATTATGGTGGTTTCCAATATTGCGGCCTTGATTATACAAGAATCAATCCGTTCTCTGCTTCAACTTAACGAGTTCGCATTTAATGGCTCTAGTTCGTAAATTCACCCTGCCTTGCCAGGTGACAAGTCCGTGTTGGCATAGCCATGGGGTGGCAGAAGCCATGGGACACATATCATGGCCTTTCTGCCATGAGACACCGAGCGAAAAATAACACTCGACTACAGTTACCTGCCCAGCGCTCACGTGAGATCATGGATGAGTTCCGAGTGACACAAGTTTCTCTCTATGCCACTGGTCCCGCGCACCTGAGTCGTAATATGAGTAGTTTAACTTGTCTCGAATAGCCTGCTATTTCAGAATAGAGCTTCAATAGTTCACGCAGCATAATAAAGCAATGCCGTACATGGTAGTTACGGTTGCTGCGCATGTCACTCAATCTTTCTTACTTTTCATTTCGGCTACAATGTGGGACACTTCGTTGGAAGATAATCTGCCTTGTGTAGTTACATGTGTCTGAACCGAACAGACTGAATCCAATGTTACTGAATAGAATAGCCTGGACGTAATAAAGTATACTCGATAGAGTGAAAGAAGGTGAATGCGACGAAATGTGGTATATGAAACGAATACACGAATGCGCTTGTACTTGGCGCTAAGATATTCATACGTTTCACAAGTGGCGATGGTGTGAGGTGTAGGATTACTTTACGAAGTGATGTTCAGTTCTCCTTCGTTTTCATTTTACAGACGGGCTGCTCCACCTGATAAACGACGAGAAACTTAATGCCTCGTCGGCGTTGGTCAAAACGCTGATGTTCGTTGACAACTGCACCTCTTCAGGTATTGCCACTTTTTTCTGCTATATTCAAAGCTTAGCGTGTGCGTCTTGGTAGAAAGCTTTTAAAAAATTAAGGGCACTATGCAAGTACTTCCAGTGGTTGTTTGTGATTTACTCGATTGTCTAAAAGTATGGCCTGTCTAGTTTACAAGTTTTTATACGTATATCACAGTGGGAGAGCTTACGCTCTTGTGTGTCGTTTGGCATTCATTTGTATTTACTCGTGGGCGCTACTGAGATCGTCTTAGCATCGCTGTATTATTGTGCAGTGCAACGCAATTTTTTTCTCAACACCATCGGAGAAGAGCGTGGCATTAATAAAAAATGACAGCATATCCAATGAGTGAATGTTGATTGGTGGGGCGAAGTGTTAGTCAGTCCGTCCGTGCTTCTAGTGTCCGCCCATTCGTTCTAGCTTCCGTCGGTCCACGCATTCGTCCTTGCGTCCGTCCGTGTGTCCGTCCATCCGTGCAACCGTTGGTGCATCCATCCTTGCGTGCGTCCCTCCATGCGTCCTCCCTACGTCTGTTCTTCCATCTGTCCGTCCGGTCGTGTGTGTGTCTGCCGTGTGGCCGTTCCTCTGTCTGTCGGCCCGTCCGTGCGTCCACGCGTCCACCCCTCTGTCTGTCTGTGCGTTCGTCAGTCCGTCCGTCTATCTGTATGTGTATTCGTTCGTTCGTCTATTTAGTGAACACTCCAAGTACCGCCACCTCACATCTTTTCATCACATATTCATCATGTACAAGTGCCGCCATCCAGTGAACATTCCAAGGACCGCCCTTTCGGGTATGCGCCACCGGTGGCTACATACACCATCGGAGGATGAACAGACCCACACGCTAAGGAGATTCGGCCCTAAAACAAAGTTGTGATACAGTCCTAAACAAACCAGATGCCTGCGTATACAGCCCCATGGAAAAATAACGCTTCCACACACATCCCCAGAACTTCGATATGCTGACCAAATGCTTTCTTTAGTGGAATTTGTATCCGTTGCAGCGTTTTCCAGGGAAATGAACGATGTACAAAATTGTGATTTTTTTCTTCGAATAAAAGCAAGTTTAAAAACTTAAACAGCATATAAAGTAACGCTTAAAAATGTTGCTTGAAACGAAGTTGAGGTGGCGGCTAGCGTTTGCAGCGAGTAATGTTCAGCGAGAAATCATAGGTGGTTAAAACCTTATATAAAGAGTTGCTGGTCAGTGAGACTAGTCCAGTGTATGTGTACATATGTACAAAACAGCAGGAAAACTAAGCAGTAGTATACATTGACTAACAACTTGCTTATTGTCAGAAGCATGAATCGACTGCTGATTGACTGACCAATGAGATGTTTCTTGGGCAAATTGATTCCCTTTTCGTTTCATTCGCTCTACGATGGAACGATATTGCAGAGACCAGATTGCAGAGTGAGCCGGAACACTTCGAGGCTGTGATGCGACGTTTCGGGCTGGGCCTCTTTCCGTACACTTCCCGTCCCCTACGGTCCAGCAGCGTCCACTTTGTGCTGGCCACGATGGCCAGGGAGCTCGGCTTGTTCCCAATTTTCGCCGTTACAGTGCTGCCTGCCAGCAGAAAGAAGAAAAAGCATCATACTATCCTGGTAACAGCAGTAGCATTGATAGAAATATAATCATTGCGGGCAACAAAGCTCATGATAATGCCGACAATGCCATCAATCAGCGGGGTGCTTGTGAATCGCTTGATGCACTATGAGTGATCCTGCCTTATAGAAATGCCATGTGCAGCAACGCTTTCAAAGAATTCAAAAGATCGTGATACATAGTTTGCCTTGAGTTTTAATTTATAATGTCTATTTTGATGCCATGATTAGCCCTTACTAAATTTCACTTGTTATTATCATCTAATAAAAGCGTCACATAGTTTTTCAAATGTTGCCGAGGTATTGAAGTTGTTCAAGATAGTATAACTTCCCTCAATATGAGAAAAAAAGAATGGTTGAATGCGGCTCGGGTTACGCGCAACGTAATAATTCGGATACTTGAGTAATGATATCCCCGGTACAAGTGTGCGGTACAGGGTTTTCGTTGAATTTCGTTGCCCGCCACCTGAGTATCACCAGCCGAATGCCTTGGTTATTAAACCATCGTGGTGGAGCACGGTTTTCAATGTCCGCTGTCGTCAAATGGTATTTAAACATGGCAAGACCTATTTTGTATAAGCCTGATGTAGACAGCATATATTACGAGGTTTGCAGTTTTCTTTTACGCTTCTTATCGATAACACACAGTACCTCAAGTATATATTTAAACTACACAATAACAAGATTGTAACTTGCAAACGTGGTGTTGCAAACGGGTTATTCAAAGGTAAAAATGCTTGACAGAAATTATTGATTGACATGTTGAGTTGAACGTACCAAAACCACTATATAGATATGAGAAACGCCGTAGTGGAGGGCTCCGGAAATTTCGACCACCTGAGGTTTTTTGACGTGCACCTAAATCTGAGCACAGGGGCCTACAGCATTTTCGCCTCCACCGAGAATGCAGCAGCCACAGCCGGTATTCTATTCCACACCCTACGGGTCAGCAGCCAAGTAGCTGAGTCAGCAGCCAAGGGTCAGCAGCCAAGTAGTGCCACGACGTGGCAAATATTTGATAGAGATATATGAGTAGGCAAAATTATGCTAAACAGAGTTGTCAACCACGCTTATTCTACAGTTCTTCGTATTACCATCTTCGATATTCGCCCCGTATCAGCGTGTTTTGCTGCAAATGTCGCCGAAAGACGACAGTACCCTGTCTGGAAGCGCTGCGTGCGGTATGAATGAAATTAGGCAATAATGTCAGGAAATGAAAACCTGTGTAGAGAGTAGAGCAACTCATAGATGGCACCACCGTGCCGTTCCAGCAAAGCGAAGAAAATACCTGCTCTTCTTTTTTTGTTCATAGCATCGCATTCTCAGCACAACGTAACATTACGGTCTTAAAAATCGAGTATGTATGTTGTTTCTAATAAAAAAACACAATACCTAATGTTTACGTATTGTTGTTGCACCTCAGAAATGCGTTATATTTGCCTTTTCATCAACAACGTTCTGATGTATGAACGCAGCCACCAAATGAAGACGACTGGGCGTTCATTAAGGAATCAAGCTTTCGCCAAGTGGATGAATTGGGCTGCAACAGGCAGAGAGACAGACCGAAATTTCTGCGCTGAGTTATCTCAAGGAAGGCTATCTTCTTTAAAACCGGCCCTACAATTCGTAGCCCATTCGGTCTCTTCAGAGAACACTACATTCACACTCATTCGGAACCAATGTAGAAAGTACAGCTATAACAAGAGTGGTGGTAAGAACGTCGGTGGAGAGGGGGACAACCTCTCAGAAAAGTCGCTAGCTCCTGAGCCAGCTGGACAGCCATCTCCTGCAGAAGAGAACGAATGGGTCTCAAAACGCAGGGCCAGTTTACATTTTAATTATAAAAGAGTGGAGACTGAACGTCACTGTAGCGTCTGTTTATACGCGCGGGAGGGATGTCTGCGTAGTAGCTTGAAAGCGTAATGCCGCAACCATTTGCCGCCATTCCTGCGGCAATTCAAAGTAAATTGCAAAAGTAGCAACATCACCCGAGAGGTGGTGCTATTATCTGTTCATAGGTGTTTGAATCGCCTACACTTACCGGCTCCTATCTCACATTAGGGCGAGAGGGGTGTTTTTTCATTTTTTTTATCTTCTACGAACGATCGGCAGTCAGAAGACGTGTTTCTCACATCGATAAAGTTACGGCGACCATCTGCTTGACACTGGTACAACCATCATTTCTAGCAATCGTTCGTGTTGTTGACAAGCGTCTGTACTTGTGCTTCTCTCACGCGCTTGTTCAATAGTTCTGGAGTAATTTAGCGCCGAACGCTATAACTAATTTGTCCTTAATTTTTCTGGTAGAGTGCAAACAGCGAGCGCGTATGGCTGGCACGGATGCCGACTTCGTGTATGGCGACAGGAACCAAATCATCGATACAGACAACCAATTCAGTTGATAGTTTCCGTAGACCATCTTCTCCCCACTAGCTCACTCCAGCACGTCGTTTGAAATGCATGCTGTCACAGAGCGCTCACTCTTCAAATGTAGGCGACGGAAGTACGAATACGGCATTCAGAGATTTCGCCTGTTTTTCGCAGACGGTATACAGATTTGTCAGATGGTATACATGAAAGCTATGTGTCAACTATACAGAACTGCTTTTCGGCAGGGGTAAAAAAAAAGCTTAGGCGGCAACAAGATAGAAATGTGGGCTAGTTAGTAAGGCTTTTCTGTGTTACCGCTCTTCTGTTCGCTGAATGAATAACTTCGCGAGTTCAGGATACAAATAATAAAGCTTCACAGCAGTGGCAGCAAAGTGTGCTTTAATAATATTTCGATGTATACTGTTGCATCAGTTGCTGTTACATCTTAGGACCGAAACTGCGCAAAAAAAAAAACATGGACAAAACGTGGTGATAATGCTGTGGTAGATGTATTATATTGTAAAAAACACATGACAGTTTCTGGAGTTTTTCATGTGGGGCATCATTGGAGGTACATTATTAATGAGAACTAGCAGACAACACTTCAAGGGAAAGTATAGCGGATGTTAGTATTAAATGCAACGTAAGCCTGAAGAAAAAAAATTGACAAAAAGATAACTTGATGAAAAAATATCGAGCCTGCGACCTACGAATAACGTGGCTGATGCTTTACCAACTGACGTACCACTGCAACTAACTCCCTATCCACTTTATGGGCTATATGCATGCATTTAAACGTATTAGCGTCAGTCAGCACCGCCGGTATTCATGACGGCGAGTGTCGACCACCTTTTCTGCCGAATGGCGCCACATACCAAGGGGTGTTATTATGCGCTGGCAGCTAAACAATAATCTCTCGCATACTACCTAAATACTTGAAGTCTGCCAGAACGAGCTATGAATGAAAGAAGGAAGTGGAAATCTGAAGGACTCGTTTTTTTTTATTATACACAGTATTAATGTGAAGAAAGAGACAACACTGCCAAGCCAAGTATAAAAGATGTCAGTAGTAAACGTAACGTAAATCCGAAGAGAGAATTAAAGGTAGTAACACAAGATTGCATTGTTCTTAAACTCAAACGTGGGTTAGGACCGGACAAGGCACGCACAAGAAAGGAGGCACCTGTTCTTTCTAATGGCTATATCCATCGCTTGTGCGCCTCTGAACTCATCACTGGATCTACTCGCGTGACGGCACTTGTCGTGCAGTTTCTGCCTCAAACGTGTTTGGCAAGTAACCTGAATTAGGGGCAGGTGGTGTTGCAATCGTATAAGCAGACATACGTATTGCGAAGTGATCATTGCGGATGTTGATCCTCTGTTGCAGCTCAAACAGAGGTTACGCAGATGGCACGAGGCTGACCTGTTGAGCGCCGAGACATACCACTGGGTGCTTAAGAAGTCCGCTTCGTTGCTTCCGTCAATTCAGCACCTGACCGTGCAACAGTACCAGGATGTGCTGAAGATCTCAAAGGAACTGCTCATGGTACGAAATCAAACAAGGATGACTGCTACCGATTTATGGTGTCATTACGGGTCGCTCTTTGATACATAAACGTCTTCGTGCAACTGTTCCTCGCTCTGCTTCGTGCTATGTGATAATAAAAAAAATATCTAGAATGACCTGCAAAAGTCTGCTCCAGGGTGAGAGGCATTTTCTTCATTTTTTTGCCCCGTCATTTATTCCTCACCTACCCCAATTCATAAGTGTTTTGCGACTGAAATGGTTTTACATTGCCTAGAAGATCACAGGCCCTGTATCCTTTTTGCAAGTGATTTGATCCTGCACTGTGTCTGTAACAGCTTCCCTGTGACTTGTCGATGACGACTGATGACGTCGTCTTTTGGTATCACATTACGAATTTTGATGACGTCACACACTGACTATTTGTGCGTCATGATGACTGAGGGTGCCATTATTCGAGATATACATCATTTGTGCTGACGCCCGCGTTGCCTGCGAGTGTTCGCGTTTGATGTGAAATCTCGGGATGTCTCCTTCAAAATGGAAAACGTTTGATGAAACCTCTTCTAAACAAATAAGCAATGATTGAGGAACTAGTGTTACTTGGTGCATGTAAGCATGAAAGTGGCGAGCGACAAGACTAGTATGGGAGAGGAAAATTCAGGGCTGTCTAACACCGTCATTACATTGTATGGCAACCTGGCAAAAGAGGACATACCGTAATCGTGGTAAGAGCTACATCCTAATGCCTTCAGGTACAGTACGGGGCAGTGTGAAAGGGAGCCCCGAGCTTGTGTTTAAGACACGATTACCAGTGAGTAGCGGATAGCATTATGACAGATCAATCGGCAAGAGGTGCCTATGCACTTTAGCATCTCTTATTACTAACACTCTCGTGCTTGTCCACTGTGCTGAATTGTCATAATCTCGTGAGGGTGACCTGAGCCGCGTTCAAACCGCTCACGACTACAGGATTCCTTGTCAAAAAGAAAGGTGTGCCACTACAAAAAAGACATATATAGATACAGTTACATTAAATGCATGTTAACATCAAGAACTATATTACGATTCCAAGCGTCAGCTACTTCCGTGGGTGTTTTCGTTTCAGTAACCTACGTATCCGTAGAACAGACACGTTTTCATAAAATGTTCTCTAATGAGTGGCTGATGTGCAGAAAATCTGACGCAGGCCAATCTTCTACAATTTCTAAAATGTTCACTTGCCAAGGAAACTCATGGAATGATTTTCGTCACGCAATAAGTATTTTAAGCATAACTGTTTGTTCCAGATGGCAGCGTACAGGCCTCCCGTTCCCGAGCACAGCTTCGTTACTGCCTCCGAATTCGCCATGTACGAGAAGGTGCGTGCCGGTCTGGTTCGGATAATTATTTCTGAAGGCTGTGCTAAGCAATAGATTACAAGCAGTTATGAGATACACAATACCGAGGGATAAGGACGTTAAACACAAAGTAAGAGCTGTACTATACCTTGCAGCTGCATGTACGTTTGGGGGATCTGGCTGCCAAATTGTAATAACAAAACTTTTCTTACCAAACTATTGTGCTCTGTCAAAGATACTTGACAGGACAAACTCTTCAAGAATGTGCTGAGAAGCCGTGGTTTAAAATGACGTGGTATTGCATAGTATCTTCTAAACATTAACCAACTAAGAACTACGTATTGAGCAACAATTTTTAGCCGCTTTCGCTGTTCTTGGTCTTAAGGGGCTTTTATGCGATGTAGAAATATATTTTGTTCCTTCGCAGAAGTGTTTTGTTAACTCGAAAATGGGAAATAGAGGAATTTATCTTTAGAGTTGATACGCTTTTTTTTTTAAGTGAAAGATTGTTCATCGAACTGATGGCAAAAATCGTCAGTCCACAAGTTTGGTTCACTGGATAGACGTTTTCAATGCGCCCAAAGCTATCAATGAAGATGCTCGAGGTGATATCCCATATGTTACCACACATTACAAATATGGTTGACTCTTTTAGTTTGTACATAAAAACTCGAAAGACTGAAACTTAGGCAATCAGTGTGGACAATGCTATTTTCTTCCCTCTCGAGTTTCTAGGGCAGCTGTTGTATTGAAACGTCTTCGTAGATGTAGATTAACAGGTTAACACTTCGCAAAGGAATGAACCTCGGGGTCACCAATGTGCCTCACATGCCAACTTGCGGTCATTGTGCCACAGTTGTGTTAATGCTGTGGCTGTCGTGATTACTGTTACTCTGAATTTGAAGTATCTTGACAAAAGGGAGTGAGAATGTTAGTACTTACCTGCTGTGCACAGTTCTTACTAAAAGTGCGTTTTGTGTGTAGTTTCGCACGGGAAAGCAGGATCATGTGAACGAGAGAGGCGTCTTCTGACACGCATAATTCCGTCCTAACTGTCAGTGCTGACATGGGCAAATCAAAACGCATGTGACTGAGAATTTCTGCCTTATTGAGAGAAGCCATTGTTTTATTCTTCAGAGAAGTGTGGTTATGGTGCTCTTTAACTTTTTTGATAATTGTAACTTAGTCTGGCAAATAAACGCTTAGTGAAATTTCGCAGCCCGTTTCCTTTTGTGCTTTCACCTGCCGTGGTAGCGTACCCGCATTGGGTGTTGTGTTACTATGCTCAAGGGTGCAGATTCGATTCCCGGCCACGGCGGCCGTAATTGGATGAGGAAAAATTCAAAGAACACCCGTGTGCTTATGTTTGAATTCACCGTAAATAACTTCAGTGGGTCGAAAATCAACCGCAGATCGCCACCAGGCTTGCCTGATAATCACATATGGCGCTTGCGCCACGTAGAACTCCAGCAATTGTATAAAATTGTGCTTTCACGCATGGACTGTGCAGTGGTATCACATTTGCTAGAATGTTGTAAAATTAGCTGTGATGCTTCTTCATACGCCTCGTTCAAGTGATGAGTGCTATTAGTGCCGTGCAAAACTAAAAATGCATATGCTTACCAAGTATGTCGCCACTGAAAAATCATTATTTGTGTACAGTGCAAAAAATTCGATAAAGCAAGCCTTTTGAGGGAAGCAGAGCTCTTTGAATGCGTGACACATTGGTCGTATCAAACAACACGAGGTGCACACGAAAGTGTGGGGAGCATCACGCTAGCGCCTGGCAATAGTAAATCAAAAGGACGTTACTGTATACCAATAAAACACAAGAAAAAGTCACAGCTTTCCCTCAAAGGCGAAGAAATTAACGCGATAGCAACAAATGGGAAGGCCACGCGCAGAATAGAAAGCAGATCGAAGCGTGTCTCGCGTCACGCACAAATTACACATGAAACGTACTCACAAGTACACATGCACGCAAATAAGCGTCTCAAATGTTACTTCGCTGTGTCTGAAAAGCACGCGCTTTTCGCAAACGGAGGCTGCAATGATTGCAGTGACCTTTGTGCGCGCCCGGTAACTACAACAGAATTGTTCCAGGTAAACCCCGAGGCCAGCCAAGACGTACGATTCCCGTCTCCCTACCGCGAGATAAGGGCGCGCGAGGGAGCGTCGCTCCCCTCATTAAGGTGGGGCAAGGTACGCATGGGAAATCAGAGTGTGCGCCGCCGCGCATTCTGGTGACGCGTGCTCATTGCGCCACCATGCTGATAATGCTGAAAACATGATAGTTCCCCCCGAGATTCCCTTGAGCAGCGGTAAGGGGTAGATATAGATAGCTTGCAGTTTGAACGGTGAAGGAGGGGCTCCTCGGTCACTCAGTGGTTAACGCCTCGCACTCTCACAATTGAAAAGACCCAAGTTTGATTCCGCGTGCCGTAGTTTCTGGTTTTTTTTCTTGAATTTTCATATATAAAGATACGTATACATAAACGGTGAGTGGCGCCAACGCCAAAATCCAGCCGACAGTGTGCGCATGCGCGCCTGCAAGAGCCCATAAATGAGGAGAAAGTGCAATAATGTAGAAGGGACTTTCCTTCTTTGGTCCTTGTCGCGAGAGGGCGCTACAGGGGAAGCGCCTGAAAGGGAGGAAGTCGCTGCGCCGAAGGAGAAACAGATCCTGCTGCTCCATTTTCGCTCCCACTTTATGTTAGTTTTCTGTTGGGAGGGGATTAAATTTTTGTACACATCTACATCCCTGTGCCACACTTCGGCATCGCCCATGGTGTTTCGTCATTGACTGCAGTATAGCAGAGTGAATGTTGCATCCACTAATAGAGTCAGGATCTTCCTAGAGTGCAACTGTGTTGTAATGTTTTCTCTTCTTTTAGATAAACCTGACGTCGTTTCTCGCTACCCTGTTCGAGCAGTCCCACGTGTACACCAAGGAGTCTTTAATCGCCGTCAACTCGAAGGCCTATTTCCACCGGCTATTCACCTACCTTGACACTGGCGTTGACGAGTGAGTTCCTGCTTTAATAACCTACATCCCTTCAGGTACGCTTTGCACTTCTGTGTTCCATGCAGAACACTTGCAACAGTGCCATATATCAAAATACGGAGAGCCTCTAATGGGAAAAACCCCAGGTAGGACATTGGTAGCAAGTTTGTTCTCTGACGAGGAATAATTTTACACTGAAACTGCTCTTAAATCACTGGGCTGTCAATGTTGTCCGAAAAAAAAAGAAAACTTCCGGTGATGGCTTACGCTCGGTTGCTTCGACGTTCATGTGTTCAATCAAAAAGCGCTGAAACGCCATCCGAATGCTTATGTTTTAATACATAAAATGTCGGAGCTTGCTGTGTGGGAGTTTGTCAGCTATGCTCTGCGACTGCTTATTCGTTGTATATAAATAATTATTTTCAATTGATGTGGTTGCCGTCCTACTGTTAGTATAATTTTCATAAATCAACGACCATTTGTGCAGGTTTGAAGGATCTTTTTTTTTTGAAAGGAAGACATGTCGATTATGGGAAAAAATGCCAACAGCGATTAAAATTTGTACCATGGTAGTCATTGAAAAACCATAAGAGGACGTGGGAAGCAGCATGGTGGTGCATTCTGGTGGCAGCTTGCAACGCTCAGAGTGGACACACGCGTCTTTTTTAACCTGACTGTCTGCTTATTCACTCGCGTGAAGTGCGCGCCCACCGGAGTGTCATAATAAGCACAAGGTGCCACCTTTGCAGTAGCCATGGAAACATCCATTGATGTTATCCTTAATTTAAAACGTGAGCTGTTACTTGCCTTTCTTGGTGCGCCCCGCACTCTAAAGATTGTTCAGGGATGATCCACATCGAGCAAAACATGCTGTGTCTCAGTTTTTGGCATATCAACATATGTGATAAGATTATCCAGCAGATTCATTCGCGAAATTCGATCACGCATGCTGCTATACTTTTCAGCGCTCATTCATGAGGACAAGGAAGTAGGAAACTTTCATTTGCTTTTAATAGTACAAATCCTGGTGTAGGCCCATGTGCTCAGATTGGGGCGCACGTTAAAGAACCCCTGGTCGTCGAAATTTCCGGAGCCCTCCACTACGGCGTCTCTCATAATCATATGGTGGTTCTGGGACGTTAAACCCCACATATCAATCAATCAATAGTACAAATCCACACAAGACAATGCACATGTAATAAACAAAAGAATTAACGGCGTCTTCCCAAAGCGAACCCCGATGAGATGCGAAGGAGAAGTGTTGCGCATGGACGTGATCCGCGTTTTTAGCTCGCATCTCGTCGGTTTCTTTGGTCTTCTGCTGCCGGCGCTTGCGTCCGGCTTCTCTGGCTCGCTCCCCATTGGTTGTCAGGAGCGACGTTGCCATTCGCTAACGCAATCGGCTCCGATAGCACTCGCAATGCTGGTGATGGCCGGGTTAGGCCAAATCGCTTTGGCGCATTTTTCGGTGGGCGAACGAGCTTCGCTTTCCGCCTCCTCTCCACTGCAAATAAACGAGCCAAAAGAGTGTTCACTCGATGTTTCGCTAGCACGTTGTGAGGGGGGGGAGAGGATGAAACGAGATAAAGGTGACATGCGGCGAGCGCGCGGCAGGCGAGGGAGAAAGTGATGCACTGCACACTGCGAGAGAAGTCATGACCTACTTGACACCGCCCCCAAACCTGCGGCGAGGGGAGTGCGGTGCGGCGCGTTGGCACGGAGACATGGACGGTCAGCTTTGCGAATGCTAGTCAAAGAGTGGCTTCACATCTAAAACAGCACTGAGAAAAAAAATGTTCTCCACTCTGAATCAAGATCAAGATCTCGGCAAATGGAAATCTTTTCGATCAGGCAAATCGCTCAGTGGTTTCACAATGACTACTTAAGTGGTATCTTGCGTTATCTCTGGCGTACTGGTGCACGTGACGTCTAGGCGAGCGAAAGAGCAAGTTGAAGACGAAAAACGACGCGCGTGCGCAGTGCCCATTCTCGAACTCCTTAAGCAGCCATCAGAAGACATGTTGGCGCATTTCGCCAGCCACGCATTCTTGTGGTCTTTCTTATTTTTACCGCCTTTTTACATATCCTAGGCTCGTGCTCATACATTGAAACAGAAAGACAAATATTTCAAAGAACTATGCGGGCATCAGATGGCCATGCACTCGAGCCTAATTCTAGGAGATGGTACACTTGTTCCTTTATCTAATGTCATCTCTTTCTTAAATGAAAGCGACATGTTACATAAATCCTAGAAGTAAATGGAGCGTACTGGTTATTACAAAACACCTTGTGTTTTGCGCACCTTAGCTTCACGGCCATAAACCAAATTTAACAAACCACAGTTGAATTAGGGATGGCGTTTTAGAGGACGTACTGCACATAGGTTTCATGTTAACTGCCTAAGCAATCCACAGCGATGCGTATTAGCCGAGGGCACTAGAGCGGTTCTAATTAAAAAGTGCACTTTTCTCCAGGTTCTTAGGCGTAAGCGCAATGATAAGGCGTTAGTGCCCGATAGCTGTCATAGTATTCTTTAGAAATGGATCATCTTGGCACTGATTTTCTAACTGTTCTCCCCACTTCACCTTGTTGTACATTTATTAGTATACGCGTATATATTACGCACTCCTTGTAAGACTGACGTAAGTGTTTACGCAGGCAAGTTACGTATTTATTTCTGTAATAATGTTTTGGTCATCTCAAAACTGCTTGAGACGGTGCTCTTTGGCCGAATCTGGCCTTTACGCCTATAAAGGCTATTCATCATGTGTGCGTGTGCCATCAACTTTTGGGGCAGTCTCCCTGCAGGACAGACCTTCTCTGACCATTTCAAGGCACTCGAATTGAGCCGTTCTGTCACGCTAACACTCGCATTGCAAGCCACTCTCCAATTCTGTAGCAGTCCTACGGGCCAAAAGAAGCTTAAAAGTACAAAAGGACCACTACACCCAAAAGAAAGCATGCACACATAATTAAGCCTTATATTTAACTACCTAAAATTTGTTCCCAAATGGTTCTTATTCCTCTGCAATAGTTCCGAATTTTTATTCTCGAATCTGTATACGTTTTACACATATTCTTTGCACACTTCTGTGGCAATTTTACGAAAACATACGTGATTATTGAAATGATTGATTGATTGATATGTGGGGTTTAACGTCCCAAAACCACCATATGATTATGATAGATGCCGTAGTGGAGGGCTCCGGAAATTTTGACCACCTGGGGTTCTTTAACGTGCACCCAAATCTGAGCACATGGGCCTACAACATTTCCGCCTCTATCGGAAATGCAGCCGCCGCAGCCGGGATATGAACCCGCGATCTGCGGGTCAGCAGCCGAGTACCTTAGCCACTAGACCACCGCGGCGGGGCGTGATTATTCAAATGAAATCTGGGGCATTTCAGAAGGAACTGCAAGAAGTTACGGATGACCTGCATGAAAGGCAGAGGTCACGTAGAGACAGAAAAATAACCTCGCAAAAACCGAATGCACCGCAGGTCGACCGTGCTGAATTACCTGGGCGTATACTTGTGGGTTCACCTGTCTCCACTGTTCCCGGACGAACACAGCAGTGCGCCGCACCTGCCCGGGTTGCAGTACGGAATGCCGGGTGCATCCAAGCGATTTCCTCTGTGCCTTCGCTACGCAGAGTCGCTATGTCCACAAGGAATGTTCGCGTTACTCACCGTAGCACTGGGGCAGACCAATTCGTCCGTGGAATTCGTGAGGCCGGTACGAAGTGACGCTGCTCGCACAGTTCGCATTCTCATTTAAAGAGACGACACCCTTTCCTTCGAAAGTCTTGCAGTTGCGCATCTTCCTGCGTGATTTTCGACAACTGCGGGGAGAGAAGAACCTGTTCTCGACCCATTTACTATTTTAACATTGTGAGACCGAAGCGCACGTTCATCGCGCATGAATGAAACAAACGCGATGGTAGGGGCTGCTATTTTATGGACACGGGTCAGCGTGTTTTATTATTACACGAGAACTATGTGAGCAATAATTAGTGAGCCCACCTGACATGCATCTACCAGAGCAACCAGCTACTCCATCGGGCCCTCCGTTTCAGAACACGTGTAATCAATACTTCAATTTTATCTAATAAGTGATGCACTGTAAATACATAACATGCAAAGGGCTTCTCTTAGAAATGAAAGAAAAATAACTGTCAAGGTTTAACGGCCTGAGTTCATGACATGACTGGCCGCGACGCCGTGGTGAAGTGATCCGATAATTTCTCAACCTCGGTATTTTTTTAACGTGCATTCCTATTGAAGTATCTGGCCTTGAGCATTTGTGCCTCCGTCTGAAATGCGACCACCATGGCAAGAATTTGACACCACGACCTTCAGGCCGGTGTTTGACCGTCATAACTGCTGAAGTATTGCCACGTTCTTTGCTCAAGTTTTGTTATCGCCCCGTTAGACTGTACCTAATACTCAGCGCAAACCACTACGGCAGTGTTCGAGAAGCTTCGGCACTGTAGTAGATCGTTTCGTTAAGATCATGCCCACTTCGCGAACACTACAGATTGTTCTAGAACCTACGTGGCCACTAGCGATAACGCTACAATGTTAGACGACACGTGTGTAAATGCCGCCACGCTTTACCGTTTGTCAGTTCATCGACGGCCGACGCTATGTTCGCCGCTATCAGTGGAAGTGAAAACGGAAGGCTTTGATGTCTGAGACAGATGGAAATTCTCACATTGTGCTGGTAGCGTCAAATGTTAACATGGTTGACGTCGCGTGGTTGTTGAATCATTTGCGCAGCTCGAATGGTGGATCGGTGATTTCAAGGACCTCCTCTTCAGCTATACCAAGCGGCTAACATGGCTGGACGGAGATACGACGCAAGAGATGTCAACAAAAGTGAGCCATGTTTTTTTTTTTTTTTATGTGCCTTCGTTAGGTTGCGCTCTATCGTCACTAATGAACCAGTACCAAAAAACTCCAACCAGAATTCTGCTAGCCATCTTACTTTTCAGTTTCAATCCAGCTTTGTGAAGGTACCAGCTGATTTATGGGCACCCACAATTTGGAGCTGCAAGAGAAAAATTCTATTTTGTGGCAGCGCCTGCTTTAGAAGGTTTGAAAACTGGGCTTCTTTGTTACCGTATTTGAACATTTTTGGCACAGTGCAAAAGCAAGAGGGTGAAAAGAAAAGGACAGGCTACGGCGCTGAGGCCGTTGATTTTCTCTTCGTCCACGTTGTCGTTCCTCTGTGTCAAAAATTTTGGAACGCAGTGCCTGCTTGCCAGGCATTTTTGTTTAGCCTTGGCGATTATTGCACGTACCTGCTAACCTTCAGACTTTTTAAACTGCATTCAGTGCACTTGAGCACTTCAAAGCATTGCAAACGAACATACCTTCTTTGATGACATTGTTTACAATAAATATGCAGGATTTCATGACTTCAGTGGTGAAGGGAAATGTTCAAGTACAGTGTCTGCATGCCGGGCCCCCTACTTGTAATTTCTGTGAGTGTGACCCCAAAAGAACGTTGAATTTTGGGCTTTTTTCCAACAGAAGTAGTTGAAGTGCCAAATGAAAGTGAAGCACTGTTACCAGCTTTTGTTGACATAGATTTGTTTTGCTTTCTCCAAAGGTGGAAAGGATGCGCATCTCCTTCTTAATCCCAGCATCGTTGCTGCAAGAGCCCAACGTCTTCAAGTGGACGTGCGAGGTGCGGCATTAGCCCTATAAATTGTGTATGGTCAGCTTCTTGGGTGTCAGGCCTTTAAAGGAAAAAAACTCGAAATTTTGAAACGTACTATTCAATAGGCGCATAGCATCCTAGCTTAACCAATCGTCAGCATCTTAAGCAACAAGTACAACAATCGAGTATCAACTAACGACTGGGATAAGTTAGATCTGAATCAATTATGAACACTCAACTGTACAGTGCTTTAGAGGGTATATGACATAGTTGGGCCAGGAGTGCCAGATTTTCGCCACTGCTTCAGCACCGCAGGTGTTTACAGACCACGAAGTCAAAGCAACATTGTTTTGGGACCTGTACTGTTTAACGATTCGAAGAACATCATGCCTTGGTTCAAACTGATTTGATTGATCAGACTGGCGACTTTTTCAAGTATGCTTTTAAATGTATGCACTTTTTCATCCATCGAGAAGATTGAAGAATTCGCACCCTCAATAGAATCACGTATACATTCGTGTACATTACGCTTTGTATACTTCGTAAAGCATGTAAACTTTCTCACCGGATATGTCTGTAGCTGTGCATTATATTCATTGTATTCTGATTACCAAGCGCTTGCTTACAATGTGGGTTGAATGTTGATGTTCATAAAGTGACACACGTACATCCACTAGCATTACTTTAAAGATGCAGCTCGTTGTGTCACATCTTTTTCTACCAGTCATACAAACACAGACTAAGTACAAAGTGTCTGATAGCGGTGTTCAACCATTCTATTTGCCGCAGAACTATGACGTGAAGTTTGCCGCACTGCCACCAATTCTGCATTTCGTCGAAGCTAAGGCGACTGTCCTACGGGGCCACTGGAACCACGTGCACACAGGCGTCTCTCTGTAAGCAAACAATTGTTGCCAACTTTACCTGGCGAAAGTTAAGACATCGCGGGATTTTGTGTGTCGTTAGGCTGACATTGCTCGGAATATATATCACGGTTAAACTGTGTACGCAAACGAACTGTTTGATCTTGCTTCCTTAGCATCGAAATGGAAACTGTGGACGGACAAAGCGGAGTTCATGCCCGCGAAATTATGTTGCGTTGTCGTGAAATCAACTTATTCTTTTGGGCTTTAAGAGTCGATTGCGGCATGCTATTTTGACTTAGTTTAAATGCTGTTGTTTTGTGTTGTTTCTTTTTTACACACTTTTGTCGCTGAATGTACGTGTAAGGTATCAGTTTGTTTTCGTGGAAAAAAAAAAACATCTTTGTGCCCAACAATCGCATTATTCATGTCCTGATAAGACAAAGAGAGCACATGCGCATCAGTGAGTTTGTGTAATGAAATGATCTCAAGTCCAGAGTAAAAAGTGTTTTAAAATATGGCGAGCAAATACTTTAACCATTTCACTGTCAAGGACGCGTATTGTGATGATATTTTATACCAAAATGACCAATAGTGGCTGTGTTCGTCGCCAACCGAAATTGGTCATACACGTAAACAATGAAGACTGCGCTCATCGCCTTCGAGATTGCAAACACGCCGATGCACAGTCTCCGAGGTCATGCTACACTCGTAATCACTGTGTTTTTCGAAGCTAGATGGCCCCACTTGCCCATGTTGTCCCACACTTGTGTATTGGCTTTCATTTTGTTGGCATTTATAACGCTATAGCGTTAAAAAGGTCGTTTCACACAATTTATGGTTTCGGTGCCGGCATCATTGGTTGTGAGCGCAAAATTCTCGTCCTTGCGTGACTGAAAAAAAAAGAGAAAGATGCAAATAAAACAAAGAATACAAATTCTCTTTCTGAATGGGGGATCAGATTCGTGTAGTTTGCGTGGCAAGCGGAGGTTCTACCGCACAGCCGCGCTTCGCCTTGTGAATACAGTGAAAACAACTTCCTCTGTTTGAAACTGCGGTGAAAGTATCTTTCGTACTTTACAAACACACGCGTTCTGTATACATGCTTCACAATACAGCACGAAATATTGCCGTAATAATGCGTGGTACGATTGCACATTCACATCGGGCGTCATAAAATGGGAATGTCATATTGCCATCAGAATTTAAAGCCCTCATTCACTACAAAAGGTATACATACTAAAGCACCCTTAAGGCCTCATAGTTGGTTCATAGCGAGTTCGAAAAAGTTTCATACACTATATTTGAAGTACGCACTAAGAACAGAATATCGCTATAGCTTGCAACTCATACAGGCGAAGCTTAAATGTCCCCCAATTTCTTATTTCATTGCTATGAGCTGAAGCCACCTTTTTCTTTTGCGTGAGTTGTACAATAAAGGAAACCTGTTGATTCAAAAGAATGGCACCGTGTAAAACCGAGCAATAAATTTTCTAGAGAATTTGGTAGGTTTTCTTTCTTTTCTTACAGAGCCAGAAATTATAATTTTTCGTAATTAAAGACAATACATAAAGACATTATCATATTACCTTGTGGTTACACTATGTCAAACATTCTTTTCCCAGATTGCGTCACATGCAGAGTTTCGATTACAAGATTCGTTACTCGCATGACACCAACACGCTGAGTGAGTATCTTTCTTGGCTGTACGCATGAAAGATTGAGCGGCGACGCACCGATTTGCGATGAAAGATAGCGCGCAGTTATCGAAGCATGAACGCGTATTCCTGTATATTCAAGATGAAAGTTATCGAGTGTGTTTGCGATAAAGACTCGGCAGAAACTGCTCTTTCTTTTTCCTCGCAGGTGTACCAGCGTCGTACTTCGGAGAACTTCTCAAGGCACCACCAATTCTCGGGTGAGCAGATTGATACATACTAGGGGCATTCACAGCCATAGCAAAGTTACTAAAAAGCGAAGCATACCATTGGGTCTGTTGACGATTCATCGTTCTTTCAGCAATGCGCCGACAGTTTTCCGTCATCATTATTGCTCAGCTAATGGTTGATGCTTGTTTTCTAACGTCTTACGCCGCAAGCTGCTATGTTCAAGGATTTATGATATCTTATAAAAGCGACTTCAATTTAAAAAAATTCCAGTGTTTGTGTTTTTCTTTTACTGCTGCTGTTGCTGCTTCTGCTAACCTGGTTGTCATTTTACGTGGTTCTTCCTGCGAGTTTTATCTGAGTATTCAGAATAAGTGTAACTACAGGCAAAACTCCTTTGAAGCGGTATACGTGAGCGAGCAGGCTATTACAATTCCATCTGGTGTGTCATTGCTAATTTTTTATTCTTACTGGAGGGCTTATTTTGTTATCTGGTGAAATGTATTCATGCAACGTTTGTATTTCTTACCCCTACATAAATGTAGAGGGGAACATGTAGGCATACGACCTTATGTTAGAGTTCTAGCAACATTCTCTCGGATAAGAGTGCTTAAAAATAAGGTCGATGCTTCGCATATTACAGAATTATCTAGCAATATTACAGATAACCTGAGACAAGCAAACACGATCAAGGAACGTAGCTGAACCCACGACATTGTGTACTATAGCGGAGAATTAGATGCGCACAACGGTTCTAGCGGCATCCTGAAAGAAGAAAGAGAATGACGCAGGTGGTGACATGTTGCACCCGTGCGGTCCTATACGCTGATTCAGTATGCTCCACACGAGCTCGTACTGTAGAAAAACGTGATGCTTCAAGAACCAGTTTTAGCACGACTAAATTCGAAAGGTGCTATGCAGATCATACACGTGCGATTAGTTTAAATAAGTGATTTGTTAAATAGCTAGCTATAGCTGCGCACATCAAATTTCCGCACCGCATTTTCCCGCATTGCATTATCCGGTTAATATAATTTTGAAGTGATAATGATAAGCACGAAACACTGCTGGCGCTTCTCGCTCTGAAACAACAAAAAGGTCATTGCTGCATGTTTTTATGTACGTTTTCAGCCGCAAGGTACACATTTATTTATAATCTTGCATTCCATAATGAATGCAGTGCAACTCTAATGTATAGTGCTTTGTCGCATCAAAGTTTAAGATACCTATGTACAGTGACAGTTTGATTTATATTGTTTGTTATATAAAATTTTGTCCAACGTTTTTAAAGCGCGTGCTTTTAATTACTTGAGTTATGTGTAGTTCAGTAAACACCTAATCATTCTATGTATGGAAACTTCGGCCTTCTTTTTACAGAAGATTTTACGCAGTCAAAATCCTGCCGGACGCTTTAGAAGAAGTACTAAAGATCCTGCTTAAGCAAGGTATGGAACGTATAATAAAATATTTTTTCTTCCTTGGATAAAACTACTTCCTTGATTAGTTCTATGACCAAACGCCGCTCTTTTGGCAGCTAGATGTTATCAGCCGTTGGGAAAAAACGTACATTTTGTGAGTGTTAATAAGTACTCTACTATAATGACTTTATCTGTGCAGTATTTCTAATAGTGAACATTGGCAGCGTTCGTGTCCTCGCGCGAAAGAAAATACCTCGAAAGTGGGCCTTTCTTGCAACTTTCATTTCATTTCATTTATTTATACTGTTAGCCCAGAAGTGGGCCGTTACAGGGTGGAAGTACAAACAATTATTTGCAAAAAAGAAGTACCGTACAGGTCTCGAGATAATTTCTCGGTACTATTGTGACCAGCAACTCGAAGTTATACATAACATACATAAATGGAACACACATGCGATGCAATACATACGCGCAGAACAGCACATGACGCATTTGAAAGTGTGTTTCATACTCATGTGCGTAAACATCACAGCTGTTCCCAGTTGTGCTCATTTATCAGAACAATTTCTAAATGCTGGTGCTAAATAATTTAGGAACGCACGTTGAATAGTCATTAATCGCGGAGAATGACTTACGCGAGTATCCAGTTGATCGTCGCGAAATGGTTGTCATACATTCTCTAAGCGCAGGTAGGTTTAACTGCTCTTTCTGTCAGAAACTGAACCTATTATATCATCATTTCAGGATCCTACTCGCTCAAGAACTACACGGTTATCTCGTCGTGGACTGAAAACGCCACTTTGCGTTTCAACGCCCTGGAAGACTGCCTCTTGAAGACATATATTGACAGGCTTCTCGCACCTCTTAACTACACGGTGAGGACGGCAACCTACCTCCATAAACTTAATAATAAAAATAATCGTACTAATAAATGGTAATGATAATAATAATATACTATTAATAATAATAACAATACCTGGGCTTCTACATCTCAAAACCACAATATGATTATTATGGGAGACGTCGTAGTGGACGGAAATTTTGATTATCCGGTGTTTTTTAACGTGCGCTGACATCACACTGCAGACAGGCTTCAACCACTTCGCCTCCACCAACCACGTGGCCGCAGTGGCCGGAATCGAACCCGCGACCTTATGGGAACCAGCAGAGCACCATAGCCCCTGAATCTATAAACTTACCCGCCTCAGTGGCCTAGCGGGTATACGGCTTGACTAGCCAACCAAAAATCGCAGCAACAAATTTCGGCAGGGGTCCTAGCATTGCGATAATATCAAAGTGGCAGTGCCCGTGTACTTGGGTTTCAGTGCACGGTAACAAAGACCGGGTGGTCAAAATTTCTGGAGCTCTCCTTGATGGTGTCTCATAATCATATCATGGATTAGCGAGCCAACCTAAAAGATTTACAACTAACTGTACAAAACAAAATGTTGTAAGAGTAGTGAGCTGTCAGTGTTCAATGTTCGGAGGTGAAAGCGCTATTTCGGATACTTATGAGAAGCATTCACAAGCCTCTTATCTCCCAGCCTGTGACTATCAATAATAAGAAAAGGTTAGTCTCTGCTTCAATGTGATGTATCAATCGAACAACCCACTAGGACGAAGTACTAGTTACTTCGGCCATCCTTGACGCCTTAACGTACTTCTCAATAAAATAATGTATAATCCATTTTACGTCTCTTTCTCTTAACTGTGGCGGCACAACCAGGATCAGATCGTGTAACAAAATTGAGCAGCACGACGCCATAATCATTCGAGTACATTGGCTTTTTTTTTTTTTTTTGCTGAGCGTTCTTCCACTTACATTTTCAGCGAAAATTTTGGAAATACCCCTGGCCGTACGGCTTACGCGCGCATGCAATGATGCTTGCGTACAAGACTATTTTTATTACTTACGCTTCCAAGTCGCAGCTGGAGACGACATGTCCAAACGGCCTATTATTGTGGTTTGTGTTGTAAACAGCACTACACTCAAAATTTATAAAATATTGATAAAGTATACGAACGATGTAACCTATGCGTTTGTTAGTTACATCGGTGAGCACCACAGTATTGCGTCTAAATAACAGCCTAGGCCTCTGCTTTCTACGTTTAAGTTATAAACCCTTTTCTAACAGACTCCCCCTCTTATTACTTTTGAATTATAGCACAGCGGGGCTCTTCACTGCAAGCTCCATGGCTTTAAATATCATGTGGGGTTTTGTAAAGGTGAAATTCTTAGATACCCCATGAAACGTCAAGACTGACCGGTGTCCCACGTCGGCGTCGTCCAACACCAGCGGTGCGAAGCATCAGCAGTTGATGACACATCCGTGTGGCTTCATCATTACACCACATATCGCCCTAACTTGGGCATTTGTCACGAACTCATGCATTTCGACGTACTGTAGGGAAGTTATCACGTGACGTCATTGCTTGGTCAGAGGATGTACCAAGCCCGGAGCCAGTGCAACCATAGGTCATGTGCAAAGACCTTGCAAGACCAAGAGAGCGTGTGGTTGACCATGTCGACTTGGAAGGAAACAAAAATGGCTTTCGCCCTCTGTATAACTGAGAAAGATGCACAAGGGAGCTTGTATGCGGGGATGTAGGCATTTTTTTTTCTTGGGGACGGGGGGGGGGGGGAACCTCCTTGATTTTACAAAGGGGGGGGGGGGCTGCAGGCACCTCTCTGACATGGTAACTTTTTACTCTATTGCTATGGGGAAAGAAAGTTTTAGGCGAAGACAGGACGGGCCATTGTGCCTTCCTTTAGTTATGCCACTATTGGTCCGTTATTGTCGAGAGGGTACACTCCGATACGCCATCTGGCAAAAGAATACTTTGCATTCTCCGCCGTGAACCAAGTAGTGCTACTAACTCTTCCGTTATTTCACAGGCATAAATACCCAAGATTATGGGAAAAGAAGCGATACCTTCCATAGTTAGGTTGGCGTGAAAAATTGCATGCGTAATGCGAAGGTATACTCGCTTCAAATCACACGTAGCTCCGAGTTGTTGTTCGCTGCGTTGACTTCATCTTGGCTTCATGTAACGGGTATTAAACCTAAATTAGAAGCTACAATTAAAATGTATTGCACTTTTACTGCTTTCTGGCTTGACAGCATTTTCTAAAAAAAATAGAATTCCTCGATTCTCTCTTCGTTTTTCCGTCACTATGCTTCCTAAAATTGTGGACCTCTATTTTCTTTTATTGCAGCTATTGAGAACCAATTTTCCTTGGGTGTTGGCCGAGATCGTTGAAGCACGATTGGCCCTCGATCTTTATCTCGAGGTAAATCTATCCATATGAAGTGTTTCTACATTTACTCCTCTCGTATTTGTGCCTATGTGATAACGATTAGTTAACTCATACTTGTGCGCATTCTAACTAGTCAATATAGAATATAGAAGAAGGTAGCACGAACCAGAAGTATTCTCCAACGTAGCTCTACAAAGATTATAACTAACCACTGTTGTGTTTTAAAGGAGCAGTGACATCAACTTTACGCATGTCGTGTTTTTTTTTTTTTTGCGTCAATGCGAAGTTAGCGATCCCCTAGTAATAATTCGGTACTGATAATGCAACAGAGGGACAAACAGTATATGTAATAACGATTAGTGGGACCAGTAAAGAACGCAATACACAAAAAAATGCAGTCACCATGTGTCACGAACACTCTAGTTCTCCCCGTCACCCCCTTCCCATTAAGCGGCCGTGCTGCGAAAAAATGGCAGCATATCCACGGAGTGAATGATGGGGAGTGGGGCGAAGCATTCGTCCGTCCATTCGTTCTTGCTTCCGTCCGTTCCTGCGTACGTCTGTGTAACCGTCCATGCGTCCATCCACCCGTCGGTGCGTGCGTCTGTTCGTGCGTCCATCGATGCGTCTGTCTGTGTGTCCGTTCGTCCATCTATTCAGCACTCCAAGTACCACCATCTCGCATCTTTTCATCATATATTCTCCATATAGAAGCACCGCCATCCAGCGGACATTTCAAGACTAAACGGGAGGTGGCACATGCACACTTTCTTACGGCTTGCGCTTCGGGTTTACTTCCCACCTTTAACCACCTCGAGTTCATGGTATATACTAGTTCACTGTATCCATGGCTATGCGGCCCAACGCTCGCTAAACCTTTCTAAAACTAAGGAGGTTACACCCAGCGAGTATAACGTAGCAACCCTTTCTTGTCAGATCATGCTCAATGTACATGCCAATGGCTGCTAATGGTGATCGCAGTGTGCGTTACCTAAAGGCTGAATGCTCCTGTCTCTCATTCCCCCTTAGCAGCCATTAACATGTGCATTAAACACTATCTTTTATTGTTCAACAACGCACAGAAGAAATCTCTCACCGGAACCACCTTGGAGGTCAAAATCGTAAGGACCGCGATTTCGGGTATGTGCCACTGGTGGTTACGTACTACGAGGGACGCACAAGCCACGCCATAAGGAGCTTCGCCCGTAAAAGGGTGCAAAGCCCGCCAATATTTGGCGTTGCCAGCGCTGCGAAGCGGTCACCTCCCGCAGTCCCATGCCATCGGATCACGCAGCCCCACGAAACGGTGACGCGACCTTCAGTTGCTATTTCGTCTGCCCGGCGCGCGCTTGTACAAACATGTCTTCGCCACCGTCATCAGCAACCACAACCTGAGATGAAGGCACTGAGGAATGTGCAATCGCGGTGATTGGCAGCGTCGATGCTCCACCGCTGTGGTCTAGTGGCCAAGGTACTCGACTGCTGACCCGCAGGTCGCGGGTTTGAATCTCGGCTGCGGCGGCTGCATTTCCTACGAAGGCGGAAATGTTGTAGGCCCGTGTGCTCAGATTTGGGTGCACGTTAAAGAACCCCAGGTGGTCGAAATTTTCGGAGTCCTCTACTACGGCGTCTCTCATAATCATATGTTGGTTTTGAGATGTTAAACCCCAGATATCGATCAATCAATCACATACTGCAAGACTTGGCCGAGTGAGTCAGTAGCTGCACAACTACCCGCTGGCTGCTCCCCATGAAATTGATCGCCACAGTGCGTGAGATCTGCCGGGATTTTGTTTCTTGAAAGCGGGATTGACCAGTTTCAGAGGAATTTTGGTAACTTTCCCGATTTTAAAGTCACTAAAATGAGCAATTCTTCTTTTTATTGAATAAAAGATAACAGTTTTGGTGGAAAAGTATTCCGCGAAAAGGATAAAAAGTAGATCGCAGATTACAATTAGGAAATATTTGTCTTTGTATTTACCATTTTGCTGCGTATCTCATATGCCCTCTATGAAGAATAAGCCCAGTAACGAATATTTTAGACAGAGTGTGGCAACATTTTTTTACTTTAAATTTTGTCGCGTTTCTTTTACGACTTTGCAGTTTTACAAGAAGATTACTGCTAAAGCTAATCCAAATGACTCCGGAATATTTCTGCGAGGCTTCAGTCCATTTACGGCTGAACAGATGGCGTTCATCTTTTACGCTGAGGTAGGAGCGATACATTCACAAGCGCATTCTTTTGTTGACCTAATGACTTGTACAAGAACCATAGAGAAACATACATAAAAAGCAGACACTCCCGTAGGGCCCTGCAATCCAGCTACTGTGCTGGTTGGTCTGACCCGATAATGTCTTCAGCATAAATAAAATAACATTTTTTTTTCGATGCTGCGATTTGAATCCGTACACTCGTGCTCCGAAAGCGAGTGTCTTTACTACTCGGCTACTCACCCATGATTTTGTGAAGGGAATGCAAGTACAGCACATCTAAACCACATTAATGTGTCTATTTGTGCTAAACAAATGCAGAAAGACAACACTATCTAGTCATACTTTACTGTTTTATGTTGTGATGCATTATATGTCCTCAGCGGGACATGATGTAGAGCTGATATAGAAAATTGCACAAGTTCATAAATTATCCCCTTTGCGAAAAATTCATGCCAATGTTGGGCAATAATTGTCCTCCTGAAGAGGCTATCACATCTCTTAATAAAAGAGCAATAGCGAGGATGGGTACGCCATCTATTGGTTGGTCAGACCCTTTCTTGCTGGGCTGCGAATAGGCTCCAGTGGCCACTCCTAATATAGTATACTTCTCTATACAAGAACTGCTATAGTGCAATATGTCAAAGAAGAAAGGACCTAGCAGACTGACTCGAGGGCAACTCAGCTTTAGGCACAAATTGCATTAAATTTATGATTGTGCAGGCATACAAAGTACACCCGAACGTCACGCCAAGATGAGACAACGCCATCACAACGTTGCAGGCCTAAAATGCAAGGACGGCTTGCCTGATACCACTTCATGCTCAGATGAAACCACTGAAAGACACCACCACGCAAAATACCTTAATAAACTTCTTATGCCTGGTGTATTCGGTCACAGCATAAAAAAAACATTTACCTGCCCTCAAATGAGCTCGATTCCGAGAGTATGCAAGCTTTGAAGGGTAGAAGGTTTAACACTCACGTTACTTCAAGAAGCTAATCTCCCAGAAATGACCATTGCGGTTCCTCAATATCATTTTCGATCAGTCTGACATTGCGTAATGTTCTAACATTGCTGTGACCATAATGAAGGTCAAACCACATCGTAAATCATGCCTAAAGGTATTGTAAGCACGCACATATCTTAGGATAACCATCACGGGTGTGCGCAATGGTCTCCGTTGCATTCGTAAGAGTGAGGAGATAAAAGAAGTTTCGTAGTGCTCCCTTTCCCCCTTTCTTTCGCTAATTGAGAGAAACATAAAGCTTCGCATTGGACATAAGAACGAGAATGAAGCAATGACGTGCTTCTCACGACGGCCTTCCTTGGGTCTCCAGATACCTCGGCCACCATTGCCGTCAAAAACCTCCTGCATGTCCACATGGTTGCACTATAAACAATGACTGTGCAGATGCGACTCAGTTTTTCTATTCTAGAAACACACTATTCTAGAAACCCGTATTCTAGGACACCCCTTCACCTAACACTTCAGTTTCACTTGAGAAAATTGACGGGAGGACCGTCTCTCTAGATAATCCGCCGCGCTTCCTGAAAAGTATCGGGTCATTTTCACTTTTACTGCGGCGCTGTGCTGAAGTCAGTCAAGTGAAGGCTGCAGCTCCGATAGAGGGTTGTTTGAGAATACGGGTGTAAAGCAGACTCGGCGCCCTACTTATCCCCGCAATCTGGAAGAAGCTTTCACTCGAGTTTCGGCCTTCACTTGACCGAGCTGAGCACAGCGCACCCGCTCCTACCAAAAAAGGACTCCGCTGTTCTCAAGAAATGGTTCCGGCTGTCACTCGTACACAATGAACATTTTTGCCGGGATGTGAATTTCCCTTCGACTCAGGAGAGAGCGCCGAGTGAAAGAAAGTTCGAGAACACGGGCGTTAGATTGTTAGAAGTCGAGTGGATTGTCCTCCGCCACCCCTCAGCCCAACACTCCAGTGCACAAGCCAGTCATCAGCTTCGTCGTTGTTCACACTTACATGAGTCCATACGAGAGATATCCTATCATTACTTTGGCTTTTCGGAGTGGTACTCAATGTTTTAAAACATGCTGTGCCACCAGTGGCCAGCTGAGGTAAATGCATCAAATGGTTTGTATGCAACTGTGCTGTTTGTTAGGTCATCATCATCATCATCAGCCTGACTACGTCCCCTGCAGGACAAAGGCCTCTCCCATGTTCCGCCAGTTAACCCGGTCCTGTGCTTGCTGCTGCCAATTTATACCCGCAAACTTCTTAATCTCATCTGCCCACCTAACCTTCTGTCTCCCCCTAACCCGCTTCCCTTCTCTGGGAATCCAGTTAGTTACCCTTAATGACCAGCGTTTATCCTGTCTACGCGCTACATGCCCGGTCCATGTCCATTTCCTTTTCTTTATTTTTTGTTAGGTACTATGTACTTTATAGTTTGTAATGATTAGTAATTTCCTTCTTGTTTCACGAATGATGTCGTTTTAAAGCTTTGCTTTCTTGTTTTTGCATTGTTATTTCAATATGTGCTTGTGCCAATCCACCCTGCTACGGCCCCTACTTGGGACTAGCAGTGTTGTAAAATAAAAAAAAATGAACTTGCTGACTAGCTCTCCCGCTTCGATTCCAACAGAATACCTGCGAGCCGCTACCGACTCTGAACGCCACTCACCACTTCCTGACTCACGGGATTTCGCCCCGAGACAAGTAAGCAAGTAAACACTGCAGTTCGAGTGGAGTCAAATTCTACCGCGTGTTTTTGATACGCCTAATTTTAATTATTAGACGGGAATACGAACGCACTTCGTTCCATAAGAAATTTTTTTTCAGTGAGAATATATAAGCACGACAGGAGCTTGAGCTAGTAGGTGGGAATTCATACTGCTAGTTCATGTGCTGCCTGCTTGTTTAGCTGTGTCGGTCAATCTCGAGGCCCGGAAAGAGTTGGACATGAAAACCCTCTCTCAAACCTACTTAAAACGCTGTTGAACCTCCTCCCTCGCACAAAAAACAAAAAAACAAGCATTTTCCTGCGCCACTGCTCCCTCTCTTCAAACTTACCCATCCACAATTTGGCTACGCTTTTGAGTCAGTGAAAAAAAAAACTCTTTCATTTTAAATAGCTTCCTACACAGGAATACCGTAAACACAAATATAAGCATCGTATCAGCGTACTTTCTCTGCCACGAAGCTTGCATAATGTCCTTTTGAAATTAAAATGAAGATTACCACACCAAAATAAGAAGGGAATATGTTCAATGGCCCATGGTGCTTCGAAATTACCAACGTATTTCCTCATACCTTCAGCATGTATGACTATTTCTGCGATTGAGTTACTCAAAAACATCACCACAGGATAATTTCCACGCAAAAGATATTTTACAGCTGCCTTTGTGGAAATTTTATCCCACTAAGTCTAGGTGCATAAGCTTGAACTTCTTTTGATAAGTCGTAGTATTTGAGGCGTTTCCTATTATAGTAATATACTCCTGGTAGTCTTCAAATTTACACCGTAGCAAGTAGCTACGGCGCCACTTCCTAACCTGCTGTGGTTTAACTTAATGCTTTTTTTAGCTCTGCATTTCCAAGTTCGATGTCGTGGGCGCGATCTTGACCGAACTTGTCTGAATTCCAAATGCTCGATTGTTCATACACTTTTGTTTCTGTTTGATTTATAATGACCTGCTGAATTTCCTTGCCCCTTTTTACGACGTGTTAAGTAATCAGATGATGATAATAATAATACTTTTTATTTCTTCAAATGAAACAGTACGTGTGACTAGGCCTGCCAAAGCCAATTGGTGGCTTGAGTGGCAGAGCCTGGCAGACACCAAAACAAAGCGGACACGTTACAATATTGTATTTCATGGCCTAAGAGGGATGATAGGACAAAAAACAACGTGCATATAATATTACAAACAACAGGGCATACAAGCAATAGTTACAAGCAATATACAATAGTTACAGCAATTGAAAGTGAAAAGGTATAAAGGAAAAAAGAACAGAATTACAGCAAATGTTTCTTAAGCAAAGTACCACACTGGATGATTATGCATCATCATGCTTGCGAATGCGTGTATATGAAATAACACACGACATGCATTACAATTGTAGACAGATACGCCGTAGCAGTTTCTTTACTTTGTATTTTGTTTTTGTGCGAAAAATGCTGGGGGGGGGGGGGGGTAGTACATTGAAATAGGTTGGAACATAAAGGGCTCGCATTCTAGCTTCATACTTTGTTGAACACCGCGGCCTCCAGCAACGTACTTTGGGCCTTAAAGAACGAGAAGTAACATACGGAACCAGGAATTCTTTGGACCAGAAATGTTTTGAAACAATCGTTTGAATTAACAGATCATTGAAGTTTGGCATAAACAGCGTTTTGAAAATATCTCTCTCAGAATTCACGTTCAGGTCGTAAGATATATTTTTTTAACATCGAACGCAATATTCTATTTATTCTATTGTGCCATCCTACTGCACAGTGTCCGTAAATGGTTACTCCGTAACGTAGCATACTGGTGCAGGTGCAGATCCTGGTGCAGGTGCGTAAAAAATGTCGAGGCTCATCGATTTCACTCCCGTCTCTGACTTATCTCGCGCAGGACACGGATAGCGCTCGCCAGCCTGCAAGACTTCACGACCGCATTTCGCTGCCTGGCCGGAATGGCTATGCGATCGGACGTGCCAGCGACATGCACGCCATGGCGTCGAAGCGTCTAGGCGTTTCCCCACTTTCTCTCCGCACGCGAGCAGCGTCCAGCGCGGTTACGCCATCTTTTGCGACATATTGACCGCGTGACGGCCCAGATGGCCGTATGATTTTTGTCCCGTTCGATCACCTACATAAACTACGAAAACGAGCTCTTCGGTCGTTCGTTCTACTTTGTCTTTGTGTGGTCACGAATCAGCGGCTACGTTGACATCTGCCATCTGTACGTCGTCGGCAGGGCCAACGCCCATGGCTTGTCATATATACCTAGTATGTATCTGCCTGCGTCCGTCGTGAATACTTAGTGTGTGTCGGTGCCCTGCTGCCATAGTGGAAGCATTTTTTATTGAGCTTCAACCTTTGCAAGGCTGTGGGCCTCAATGGAGCAGTCGCTACGGTGCTTGGCTGCTCAACCGAAAGTCACTGGTTCGATCCCGGCCACCGCAGTCACAATTTCACAGTTTGCAAAAAAAGAATTGAATTGAATTGAATTCGAAGGGGGCAAAATGTTAGTGGCCTGTGTGATTTGTGATGCCAGTGCCCGTTAAGGAGCACTAGTTGGTCGAAATTTTCGGGGCCCTCCACAACGACGTCTGCCACAATCGTATCGTTGTCTTTGTACGTTAGAAAGCACACATATCATTTGCAAGGCATTCGCTACGTGCTTCCACCCGTTGCATCAGTGAAGAGTTACAACACATG